ATCATCTAAACAAAAAGATTCTGATAGGGACTTCATACTGACTTTCATGGGAGACAACACAAGCAAAAAATCAGCTGGCACATGGACATAACTCTGTTGGCCTCATCAGCAAACAGCACAGGAAGTTCCTGCCCAGGAGGTTCTGTACTCTCCCCTTCAGCTGACTAGAAAAAGATCAAACAAAATTTAGCATATTTGCTTTGTATTCCTGAGAATGGAGTCAAATCCAGAGGAAAATAAAGGTCTTATATGGCTGTGAACAGGAAAAGTGGTTCATGTGGCTCTTTAGTTTTGGGGTAACAACAGGGTGCCTTCACACAAGGTCATCTCAGAACGTGATCAGCTGAGGGAATATCTACCTAAGCAATTTTTTACAGCTGAAAATATGAAAATATAGATTTGTTCATACACCTGTACATGTGAGAGAAATATCACTTTTATAAGATGAGAACCAATCACAGAAAAAGTATCTTGGTATGTGTCAGTTGATAAATGTCATATATTCCCTGAAGCAGCCCATGCTGGAAGCAATCTTTTAAGCCATCCAGCTTTGCTATGTGCAGAAACTGAAAAACAATTCATGCTTTTGTGTAGCATAAATGCCTTTAAAACTTCTTTCACTGCTGAAACTTTTCTTTGAACTCAGCCTTAGTATGCTGAACTTAATGTAGTCATTTGGAACTATTAAAACAGACAAGCAAAAGTTCTGCTCAGAAATTGAGTCATTTCAAAATATTAGATCACTGTAGAATTCTGGCTGCAAGATAGAGATGAGAAGTAACAGGGAAAGCTTGGGGGGTTTTGTTTGTTGTTTTGGTGTCTTTGGTGAGGTTTTCTTTGAGAATTCAAACTTCAGCCTGCTTGGGTTTTAAGGAAAATTCCCACAAGGTTTCTCAACATTTTTCTGACATTTTAAATCTTTCTTCACTCACCCAAATAAAAGCCAATAAACCAAATCAAAGAGACAGAGTTACGCATAGAAGAGTTTCACCAAAAACATGGAATAAGATTGCTTCCAGGAACTGGATACATCAGGACCATTATGTTAAAAAGCTGGAGAGGCTGCTCAGAGGATTATCAGGATAATTGAGAGTCAAAGCCCACTCCCCACAGGATGAGCTTCAGGGAGCTCACACTTGTCACTCTGATGAAAAGGTGGCTGAAGGACAATCTGAGCTCTGCTTTCAACTTCCTGAAGAAAAACTACAGTCTCATCCAGTGACCTGAACATAACAATAGGTAACAGTCTGGAATAAACTATTCAAACTGGACTTCTGGATGAATCACAGCACCTGCAGGGCAGTTCAGCAGGAAACAAGGTGAAAGCACAGCCCTAGACCCTCCATCCATGGAGGTTTTCACACCTGGGTGTGCCAAGCCCAGCTGGCCTCATCCAGATCCATTGATGCTGATAGAAGTCCTGCTCCAAGCAAACAACTGAACCAGCTAGCTCCAGAGGTTCCTTACAACCAGCATTGTTAGGATTCCACTTTAACATACCATGGAAAACACGATAGAAAGGAAGATTTAATAAATTACATGGGGATTTCTTTCATATCCAATGAAGAAAAAAAAAAAGCCTTCAGCTTTTGAAGCAGAGGCACACAAATAAAGAATGTTCTCATCCTATTTCACAATGATGTATGATGAAAATTTTATAAACAGTGTTATGCAATGGAGGGTGCAAAAAGAAAAATGCAGTGATTCAGGCTAAAATTCTCAAACAAAGTATTATTATTCCCTTTGAAAAATTCCACCTTCTCATGGGGCTCCTTACTGTCTAAGCAGTATTTGCCACATGACTGATTTTGTCACACTGGATACAAATGGAACCCATCTGGAGGAATGGGAACCAGCTGTTGAACCAGCAAGAAGGGTTTCTTTGGGCTACTGTGTGAGAAAACAGTAAGTCCCTCTAATTAGAACTCTGCTAAGTGAAACTTGGATTCCCCTTCTGCTGTTGTATAGGAAATGAAAAGGTAGCTTCCATCTTTCCACACCCCTAGGACACTCTTTCACTCATATAATAATTGTTGCAATGCATCTGTAATGACTACAGCTGGGCAACATTCTCCTAACAAACCAGAAATAATTTGCAAAGCTTTCAGTAGTCTTCAGCCAACTTCTGTCTGTTTTTCATTTAAACTTAGTCCATATTCTGAGCACATTCCCATGCCAGATTTTGGCTTAAATTCATGCAGGAATGCAGGTTTTTCAAGGTCATTTGGAAGTCACACCAGCTGGTTGATTTCCTGCTTACAAAGACTTAGCAAATGGAAATTGAGTAGTTTCAGATGAGGTATATTTTTAAGCCCCCTCAGAACAGAGCTGATATCCAAGACTCTTGAGTACCAAATTACTAAATATAAACCAAAAGTAATAAAAAATACTGTCCTCCAAACCCTTTGGCACAGAAATTCTCTGGTTCACACAGCCTCAGCTGCAATTTCTTTGCTTCTGTTTAATTAGGTCCATATTTTTCAAAGGACTGTTACATGTAACTCCTTTCTTTTGCTTGCCTTTTCATAGCAAATAAGTTTAAGCCCACAAATTCAAGACAATCTCCCGAGACAAGTGCAGTTAGCTATGAAACTGAGAAGAAAACTCCAAGTGTACCAGAAAAGTCCCTTTGCCTGACATGTCTCCTTAGATTTTCATAAGTGCTTTTCTTAGCTATCTGTACACAGCTGTCTAAGAAGCAAGATTGTAAAGAAGCCTCAGATGGTCCAGAGGCTGTAATACAATTCCAGCCCCTCTTCCCCCAAATGAACTTGAGATATACATGTGTGTGTCTTTAATGTGTCTATATATCCATATGTACATTAATGGAGGGAAAGGAGGAGGGAGAAGAGAAGAAAGGCATTTCCATTCATGAAAACTCACACTGGTCTTTGACAATAAAATAGACCCTGGCCATGGAATAACAGAATCATGGAATGGGTAAGGTTGGAATATGGGTGGGGCCACCTGGTTCCAAGCTCCCTGCTCAAGCAGGGTCATCCCAGAGTACACAGCACAGGACTCTGTCCAGATGGTTCTGGAATTTCTCCAGTGAGCACAACTACACACCCTCTCTGGACAATCTGTTCCAGTGCTGTCACCCACAACATAAAGAAGTTCTTCCTCATGTTCAGGTGGAGCTTCCTGTGCATCAATTTCTGTTCATTGCCTCAGCATCACCAAGCAGAGCCTGGTCCAGCCTCCTGACCCCCTCCCTTCACACACTTGTCTACATTGTTCCCTCTCAGATATCTCTTCTCCAGGCTAAACTGGCCCACCTCCCTCAACCAGGGAGATGTCCTCACAAGAGAGATGCTCCAGTCCCTTAATCACCTCTGTATCTCTCTGCTGGACCTGTTCCAGAAGTTCCATGTCCCTCTTGAACTGAGAAACCTAGAACTGGACAGACTACTCCAGAATGAAAGAAAAAAAAACTCCAGAATGAAAGAAAAAAAAACTAAAAAAACCCAGATTTAAGGAAAAATTGCAAATTTTGAATGAAATTGTCAGCTGCTCAGTTGATATACATTCAAAAATTTTATCTAATTAGCTAATAAATGCAGAGAATTGCTGACAATTATTTGAAAATGTTATGGAGTAGTTCCAGAACATAGTATCATGGTATCTTCTAGCATTTGACCTTGATAATTACTGCTTTGTAAATTTAATTTCCAACCCTTCCACACAACAGAATGAGTTTCAGGAAAAAAAAAAAAAAATCACACAGAGAAACAAAAACAATCCCTTAACCACGTGCAAAATATTGTATCTCTGAATAACATGCTCTGTGAACTTGTAAGAAAAAAAATCATAGCAGTCGAACTTGATTGCTTTTCTGAAGATCAGTGAGTGGAAAAAAAACCCCAACTATAACAGATCAGAAAACATACCTGAATTATACTATATTATACTATATCAGCACAGTCATTAAAGTAATTTTGAACTTAAAAAGTGACAGCTCAAGCACAAACAGGCTGTGGGGCCACAAGAAAGCTGTGGGATACATTTAAAGCAGCTCAGGAATCAGCAGCATGCTGAGCCTCAGCAGCCTCCCCAGCAGTGACTTGACAAAACAAGGTGAGCAGCATGTAAAAGGTATTTTGGCAAGTGATGCTGCAAGGACCAGTGGAGTAAAAATTCCAGCAGAAAGGTATACTCAGCAGCTATATAGGCTGACAGCAAATAATTAACCTCTGTCCATGTTGTAAAATACAAGGCAATATGCTGTCATGGCATGAGCAAACATGGCACCACAATGGGAACTATAACACCTGACCATTAATCTTATCTCTGCTGCAGATTTCAGGTGCAATGGTGGGCAAGGCCTCTTAACATTTTTGAATCTCATCTTTTCCTCCAGCTATTGGCCATTTCTTGAATGCAAGCTCCAAATTCTTCATAAACTGAAAGATTCCTATTCAGGATTTGTACCTCACCCAGCACACTAGGACAAGATCTAGACCATAGACACTGTCAATTTACATATTCATGTAAAATTATGGCACCAATGAAAACAGTCAAAATTTACTTACATCTGGTCTAGCAAGAGAAGAAATCACTGTATGACTGAAGATGACACCATATGCTCTATGAAGTAATATCCAGTTTCCCTTGTGAAGCTGCATTTATTGACTATTCATACAAATAAGAAACAGAAAATTGATCTTGTCTAGTAGAAAAAAGGGGCATTTCCCTGTTTCTCATGTATTTGCCACTATTTGCCAAAAAACACATCAAATTCCAAGTGGGAGTGGGATATTTAAAAAAAAAATAAAAAAATTACATTGGTCAGACAAATGCTAACAAGTAAATATGGAGAGGATATGAAACTTCATGCATCAAAGATGAGCTTTCACTGAAAGTTTAATTAGTTTACATTTCACCCTGGGTAAGAGCTCAGTTTCCCAGGAGCAGGTGACTCACTGGTATTTCAAGAGGAATATCAACCATATGGTAACATGTTCACCTTGCCTCACCTCTCCACCAGAGGATCAGCCTACCTTGCTTTTTTCACAGCCTCCCTCCCTGGACCATCTCTGCATCCACCACATCCATCAGCAGGATTCAAGGCTCAGAAGGTCTCTGAGTTCAGTCTTTGTTCTCCAGACTCTTACCCAATAATCTCCATGAGATCATAAAGCAGCAGAGACCCTTGGAAATAGATGCACAAGTAAACAGAATGCCAGCATTTAAATAATAACTTTTACAGACTAACGTGAACTCCTCGAGCCCAAAGCAGAATAAATACAGACAGTACATCCATTAGCTGAAACTGAATAAAACATTATTTATAAAACGGGTAATTTAGATCTGATTAATGTTTATAAATGTGTTTACATAAGAATCAGATATTAACCTATAGCTTTAAAGGATTTAATTAGCCTTGGAATATTGTGTCAGTGTACAATGAAAAATAACTAATTCACAAAGGAAATGCAAAGAAAATCTGCAAGCGCAAATGAGGTCAATTAATTAAGCAATTTGCATAAATTTCAATGGTTATTTTCAGGGCATTACTGACATTTTGCACTTCCTATTCCCATCACACTGGCAAAAGTAGTCTTCTGTCACCCTATTTATATGATCCATCAATCATCTCATGGGATCCCAGAATACCAGCACACACCACAGTATAACAGCTTCTACACACAGGCTTTCTGAGCCATGCAGAATCCAGCATCCCATTTCCAGCTGTACTATCTTATCACCAGCAGATGCCTTTACAGGCTGTTATAGCTTCATTCTTACCTCCAAATGAAGGAAAAAATATGAAATATGACTTCATCTCCATTACATTTTTACATCCTGAATACCAAATAGATGGTAACAATTACAGATGGGATTCTTTCTTACAGAGGAAGCCAAATGCTGCACAGCTCACCAGCTGAAATCTGGAATGAGTTACTTAATGAAATTAGTTTATCCAAAACTAAATGCACAAATTAATATTTTACTTTAATGGAGCATTGCACCTATTCCAGCTTTATTTTTTGCAATACATTTTCCTGTATGTTTCAAGGACTGCATTATTGAGAACTGTTATTAATTTTCCATGTCCTTCAATTTTGTCCTCATCTGTTTAATGTAGTCACAAGTGAATTTTTCAATGGTGTATTTATTTATATAGCAATTCCTAGGCCAGAACTTCAGCTGATTCAAACAAGCATTTGCTATACTGTAGCCAATGAAATTGCCTGACATCAGCTGAGAACCAGACTTTTGTACATGATCTCTGTCAAGTGTTAGCACACAACAAAAAATACAGTCCAAATATAATTAAAAGAAGCACAAAGGCAACCTGGATTCTTTTTTTTTAATTTGCTTCATTTTGTATCACCTGGAGATATTTTGGATTTTCAAAAAGATCCATTTCAAAATTCATGTTAACATGAAAATACTCAAACTTGTTCACTGCAATCTGCAAAACTTTCAGGAGCTGAAAGAATGCATTTGGACTGCTCCATCATGCTGTATTTGAGTTTTATTTTTTTTAATTCTACAATTCTTTATCTGTATATCAATATATATTTCAAAATAAAAAAAAAATTCCAAGATCAAAATTGTTTATTTAAAAAATGTAATTTTCATCCATTTCAACATTTGTCCCCTTGCTTTTTTTGTCAGACTAGCCCTTTTCCTACAAGCATTTGTGATCAATCCATTCCAGTACCGTAGAGGAGACACATTTCTTTCTCTGACTTGGTGGTTTTTTCTGTTACATAAAATTGCAAAATTCTTACAAACAACCCAGAAAGTAACCTGCCCATTTTTCCTTCTTTATGCTGCTAAGTCTCTCAGGATTATTATTTTAATTGTTAAAAAATAACATCAGCAGAAGTTATTTCTCCAACTTCCACACACCACTGGTTCCTCAACAGAGACTATTTCTTCATAACTCACCATGTTCCTGTCTCAGGCTCATAATGGAGAAACAGCCTAACAATGTAGAAAACAGAATTTCCAAGAGCATAAAATAATAAATATATTAAGAAAAGAAGATATGATTAAGACAAACAACAGCTGGTAAAACTCCAGAGAAGGTCCATAGGACCAGGAGATTCACTTTCCCCATACTTTTTCTGTCCTCCCTCAGCTTGAGGGCTGAGTGTATTTTGATTTAAACTTCCCAGCAAAACCTATTTTATGACATCCTGCATCACTGAAATCAGAATTTCCCCCTCTTAACCACTTCATCATGAAGTAGAAATCCTTCTGACCCAGTTGGAATTTGTAGAGATAAACATGCTTAAAAAGAACACCCTTTCAGTACTCTCATCAATTTGGCAGTGGAACAGCTCACTAGAGATGCAAGTGTCTTGTTGAATCCAGGAACTACACGCAGTTTGGGTGAGTGCTAGAAGTGCTAACTATGGTTATAGTACAGGCCCTTATTCTACTAAATTCCAGTCCCCTTTCATGAGAAACTTGGAGGATTTTACTCTACTCCTGATGGGGAAACTATCAAAAATAATAAAAATCCAAAATGTTTTACAAGATAACAGCATGACCTTCTCTTCTGTAATTCAATGCACATTCTTATCTGAGGTTTTTAAAATCTTCAATAACTGTTATAAAGTTACAATGCTCTGGGAATTAGTCCTTGACTTCCATTAGGAAGCAGAGTTGAAAAAGATGCTTGGTGAGCTAAAATTCAACTGCTCTGTGAAGAGAAATGGAAAGTCCAAGCTTGCCTTTTAGGATGAAGGCAACACTATTATCTGCTGCACTGTTTGCAGCAAAAATTGCTGGCATCATCTAGTAAAGGATTAAGAATTAAAGGACATATGTGATTTCTGGAGGAGCCAGTCAAGAAGGACAATTTAAAATTGTCTAGGCTATCTACCTGTATCTCTGGCAATTCTTATGGCCTTAAAGTTTGCACTAGTCATTCATTGAAGTGTGGAGGATAAATATGCCCAAAGCCTTGCAGTTCATGAGCTGCATTCTGACACAAACAGCACATGAAGCTCTCTACAACATCAGTCAGTCCCTGTGCTGCACAGAACACACAGTCCTTGCTCCCTCAGACATATCACCTCCATGGTATTCACTCTCCTACCATATTTCCAAGTTGGCATTTCACAGAGAAAGGTGCCTTGCTTGCAGAGTACAATTCTTGCTCCTGGGCATCCAGCGGCGGCTCCATGCCCTGGCTGTCCATGAAATGAACGTGTTTGTTAGCAGAGGTACTGCCTGCTGCACCTGCACATGCTGGAAAACACACCAGAGCACTGCTGAGCACTGCTGGCTGGGGCAGACATAGTTCCAGGCAAGGATATAGAGATTTATATAGAATTTGGCAAAAGTGATTCTGGTCTGTAAAGGGTTTAAATGCACATACTACCAGGTTTTCCTTCAAATTCTCTGCAGACTCTCCAGCTATGTCTTAACTGATAAATCAGAGACAGAGCAGAGTTCTGAGCACTGTCCTGAGATTGTCACTACAGATTAATTGCTACTACAGTTGCTGGAATGGGTTTTGCTCCAGGCAAAGCTCAGGTATGTTCTGGGATTTGTCACAATAGGCTGTATGGATGAGGCTACTCTGTTTTGAAAGGGGAGAGAATTAACTGTATGAATGTGAGCAGTTATGCCACTTGCCTTCAGAGCCAGAAAGCAAGCCCTTTGCCACATTGTCTGTTCTTTTGACAGAAATATTCTCAGTGTAGGGAAGAAAATTGAGCTTGAGAGTTGCTTGAGAGCATCAGAGGGTTGTGCAGACTCAGGGCACACAGACCTCACCCATTCTAGAAACTGGGAGGGTTCAGGCAATGATCTGTGCCCAAAAATGAGCTAAATATTGTTTTGTTGAATTGATTCACTCCAAAAGAAAACTAAGAAAGTATTTTTTTGGAAATTGGAATAGCAGTGGGTCCAAGGCATAGGCTTGCACTGGTGAGATATTTATTTAGCTGTAAAAATCCAGCAGATCCTCAGCTGGTGTAAGTTTATTCCACTACTATCAAAAGAGCCCATCATCTATCTCGAGGAACAATGGACCAAAACAGAGGCAGCAGGGCTGTTACATGAGGGGGTGACAGGGATTACTCCTGGTCTTTCTCTATGAAAAGTGAGATGGGGTTTGGGGAAGCCATGGAGCCTTCCAAACCCAGGAATGAGCCCACAGAAGAAGGAAAAGGAGCTCTGAGTCAAATACAGATGATGAAAACTGGAGAGGGCAGCAGCATAAAACAAAGAAATCCAAAATTTACCAGTAATCCTGCCTAACTCCACCAGATTGCCTCTAGTAGAGTCATGGCTCAAAAGAGATCAGAGATGACTGCATTGACTGAGGGCTTGATCCTGAGTCCTTTCACAAAGCTTTGTGCAGAGCTGAGAGAAACTGATGAAACCTTCAATAAAAAATAAGATAGACTCTCTTGCCTTCGTGCTAAAATGATTTGATGAAATGAACTCCTCAAGGGTGTTTCAATAGTTTAATCTGAAAAGTGGCTAAGCATGAAATGGATGTTACTGGACTAACAGCTTCTGGGTGACTGTCCAGAGGTAATGGAATAACATCCAAATGCATTGAGAAGGAAAAATATTTGCTGAGATAAGTGAGTTTGGGGTGATTTATGAGTAAATTTCTGGATTTTCAGCAGGACTATACAGTTTCATAAAGGCCTATATGAAGGTGTGTTTTCATCTATTTATAATGCAAATTGGAGAAACAAGTATTGAGAGTAGAAGAAAGATACATTTCGTAATTAGAAATTTATGGAAGTTTTTCCCACGATGAAAATGGTTATTTTTTCCTGGGAGGTATTTGTAATAGTGCAGGGACTCAGTGATACCTTGTACATGATTTTGTTGTGATTACACTACCTCTGTTACAAACCCCTACATCAGATGACCTCTAAAATATGAAAACAATCACTCTTCACTAGCTTTTTCTAAGCCTCAGCTCTGGCAGACAGATTCACCAGCCTCAGGTGCTACTCCAGCCATCTCCCCATGCCTTAATCATTTCAATCTCTGCTTGAATTGTAAGCCTGAGAGCCCCTGAATGCCCCCTGGCTGGTGGCAGCCAGACTGACTTCGTGAAGTCTGGAAGAAGACAAGAAGCTGGTTAAGCTTGTGAGCTCAAATTAAATGGCTGACAGTGAAATCTGCTAACACTGCTCCTTGGAAAAGCATGG